TAAAATTTTAAATTCCGCTGTAAACTCTGTTCCGTACGGTATATCGAACCCAACAGATTGTTCACTGTTGGTCGGGCATGCTCGTTTGCTGGGGAAGGGCTTTAGTTATTTTAGTTTATTTGTTGCTCTTGTTTTATATTTTCGTATTTGTGTTTGAGTCTCTTTATGTTTCTCGTTTAGGAGCTGTATTTTTTGTCTGGGCCGTTGTCCTCTGTAAGCCTGAGCGGGAGCACCTTTTATTATCCTGTTAGGATCAGCTCCTGTCTCTATTCTCCTGTTGGGAGCTTGGTAGTTTTTCTTTGTGTTTTGTTGTGTCAGTTGTTTTGTTGTGTTAGTTGTCTTATGAGTCTAGTTTTTTAGTTTCTAACAATGCTAGAGTTGGGATTCTAGGCTGTCGTTAGACCTGTCCTCCCATTTTATTCAGCTTTTGGTTGCTTTTTCTTCTCCCGTTGGGAGCTTTGTATTTTTATTCGCACATTTGTGCGCTTAGAGTTTAATAGATCCTCCATCGTTCCGGCCAAAAAAAAAGGTAACGTATTATTAATAACTACTTAACCAAAATTTATCTAAATTAAACTAAATCAAAAGATTACTTCAATTATATTTTCAAGTATTTAAACATTTAAGTTATTTAATTCTTTTTTTTAAGTAATTTCATTTCTATTTACTTAATTCTATTCTTTTTTTAATAATATCAATAATTAAAAAATTAAAAATAATTAAAAAATTTATAAAAGAAGTAATTGAATTGAAATTATATTAAATTTGAAATCTCTAAAAAAAGATCTATGATAAGTGAGAAAACTTGTACTATTTTGAGGTTTAATTTATATATTTGAGTATTTGATTTTATTTTATTATTCAAATTTTCTCACGTATTTTATTTTGTGAACGAACATACACCAATATTTGGAATTTATGTTTATTTTGCAGATTATACCTTATTTGATATTATGCCTATTGACGATGTGGCAGCTGAGTAGCCAATGACATGGATTTAAAATATATTTGGCCGAGGAATTAAAAGAAAGAGAAGAATAGACAATAAAGACTCTTTTATTGTTATGACCGAGAGAGTTTGAAGGAATTGGGAATGAAGTCCCTTGGCCTGGACTTGAGTGGCAGGTTGGGGAGGAATTCCAATTGGGAGGAACTCTAATTTTGCTTGGCTGAGGGGTTGAGAAATTAAAAAGGGAGTTGGAGAATTAATGGGGAGTCTTAGAAAATAATTGAGAATCATGCACGGGAACAGAGAGAGCGGCTGGGAAGCATTCTTCATTTGCTGAACATCA